CCCCCCTACACTTTCCCCCCACAAAAAACTCCCCCAGCACAAAAAAGTTTTAAGGGGAAAAAATCCAATGGGTTCTCTAATTTTTTGTTAAAAAAAAAAAAAAAAAAAAGGAGGGACAAGATGAAAAAAAAACACAGCTTTGGGTAAACAGAAATCTGGAATAGCTACCAGACAGATGAGAAATGGCTTGAGTATTTGGAATTTAATCTGCTGAGCCTATGAGCAAAGCCTGTACATATTCACAGTGTCTACTAGAACTTTCTGAGCTGGGTTTAACTGTGGTCCCAAATCCTGTAAGATAACATGATTTTAAAATATGTTCACAAATTCAGTGATACTCTCCCTTACAAAGACAGAGAGTTTTTCAGATACCATACCTCCACTTGTACAATCTCTGTGAGGTAGAAAAGACTTAGCCACCCCGACCCTAGCCATCTCTCCAGGGTAGAAACAAGGCTTCAACCCAGGAAGGACCCAAGACAGGGCAATAAAAGAAGCCAAACTAGTACTGGCAGGAATAAAGATATCCAAAAAAGACACCTGTGTCCCTCCCTTTGGCTATCAGACTGTTGAAGCAATTGACCCTAATAAAGTAGAAATCCCCAGGAATCTCACAATAGGAGAAGGAAAGGCTGATGACTTGGTAGATGGCCCTGCAGGAGAGATTGGAGCAGGGGTCATAGTGACAGGTGGGACCACACCTTGCCCAGGACTACTGAGTCAGGTATACCTCTTGCCTTCTGTTAAACTGTATCAGGACCCTAAGGATGGATTAGGGGCTCACTGTACCTCTTTGTTCCTCCTCCAAATATGGCCATACTGAATAAATCTTTTCTCTGCTTCTCACTATTAATTATATCTTTAATTGGTCTATTGATTGTTGGGGCTTGTTAGGGCTGTCAGAGCTCAAACAATGGACCTAACAACTCCGGTAATAAGAGGACCATGGTCCCATTGCCATTGTTTAATACTCTCTCAGTGGAGTATTCTCTCCTCTGGGGGGCAGACGTAAACAGGGAAACAGGATTCAATGCTCTCTTGTTAATTTGTTTTCTTCAAATCCTTCTATAAAGATACTTAAAACTGTGGGTATTTATTCATGTATGAAATTAATTTTGAAGAAGATAAAGGCAGCCATTTCAAACCACAAATCAGGGACTGTGCCATGCATTTCTTCGCAGATGCCACCTCTTAAGACCTAGGGGAATGTCTTTGTATTCTAAATCAAAGTGGTCTTGGAGCAGACAGACTCTGCCCTGTGTGTCACTTAGGTACCAGGTCTTCACCCACAAATAGAGAAAGAAACAGTTGGGTGCTGGGTTTGGAAAATAAAATATCAAATAATGCAGAAGTCACACTTCTCTTTCTCCCCACCAGGAAATCCCACTCCCCTCCAAACCACAGCTTGGTAAGTTACTACTGCTTCTTAGAAACACTTCCTGAAATTATGATTGTCTTCTGGCCTCGCAGTTAGTAGAGTTCTGCCAGGGCTGTTCACATGTCTAGGGACCGTAAAAACAGGTACAGTTAAATGTCATGACCTTATTCATTCAGAATTCACTTTGCGCTAAACAAGGGCATACTTACCTTGACAGTTTCCAGATAAACATATGGTATAAGTAAGAAGGATTGCTTCACCAGTCTTTTTACAATCACTTACTGAGTACCCGTCACAAGCCAGTTTCCAAATAAAATGGGGCACACATGAGGACACAAGATAGGCAGGATATTCTGAGTGGGCAAGGGAATTCTGAGTCAAACTATATAGGAAAGCCAAGGCAAAAATTTGTGTGTGTGTGTGTGTGTGTGTGTGTGTGTGTGTGTGTGTGTACACATGTGGAGGTCAGAGGACAAGCTTGGGTGTCATACTCAACTTCCACTTTGTTGGAGACAGTTTCTCTGTTGTTTTTCCTGGGATAGCTAATCCACTAATTTCTAGAGATTCTTCTGTCTCTACCTCACATCTCCCCAGAGGAGGTCTGTATTGCAGACATCCACTACATGTCTGGCTTTTATGTGGGTTCTGGGAATTTGAACTCAAGTCTTCACACTTGTGCAGCAAACACTTCTACTCATTAAGCCATCTCCCAACCCAGATATAGGTTTATTCACAAGAAGTCATTACTAGGTGGATATGTTCTGCATATCTGACATGGGAACAAATTACTACTCCCCAAAGTCATGTTTCACTAAATTTCTCCAAAATTATCTTACAGAGGGGGCTGGAGAGATGGCTCAGTGTTAAGAATACCAACTGCTTTTGCAGAGGACCAGGGTTCAATTCCCAACACCCACATGGTGGCTAACAACCATCCACAGTTCCAGTTCTAGGGGAATCCAATCCAGAAGGGGAATCTTCTGACCTCCATGGGCACTGCACTACACAGGTGTACTTACATACATGCAGGCAATATACTCATAGACAAAAATAAATAAAATATTTTTAAAAAATTATCTTTTGAAAACTAGGGCAAAGGACACAGATTAAGAACATAATATAATATATACCCTGTCTTGGAGATGAAAGGTTACAAATGTACATAAGTCAATGATTAAAATGTCATTTAGTTCAGTGGAATTTTAGAGCAAACAGGTGGTTAGAGAAACAAAGACCAGTGTAATCTAAGACACTGGAACAGATGTAATTAAGCCAGAGCCTGAAAAACCAGGGCAAAGAAGAAGCAGGTGGGAACAGGACAGCCTGGAGCAGGACAGCCTGGAGCAGAAGAGCCTGGCATACACCCAGCTGTACATTTGTTCAGCAAGACCAACCAAGGCCTCACTGTTCAAAGCACATACTTGAAATTATAAACTACTTTTCAAGTGCCTTCTTTATAAAGCACAGGTAATTACTGACAATTCTTTCCAGACTACCTTGTATCAGGAGAAAATAATATCAATGATCAACATCCCAAGATAGATTTCTGTGATGTGTGTACCCCACATAGCCTACATATCTATAACTCCTCATCCACAATTCTAGCACCTCAAACACTTAGAAAACATTAAGTTCTTTTCTGCCAACTTATTTTCTGGAAAAGTCTTCCCTGAACTGAAGAGGCCTATCCCATTTAGTGTAAATATCCATTCATGCTGCAACTAAGATATTAGCATACTTATAGGATGCCACCCTGGACACTGCTGGAGTGTTTTATAAATTATAGTACATGTAGCATGTTATCTTTCTAAATTCTAAAATACAAGGGCCTCTATAACGGGATAGTGGACCTATAATTCTCAAGTACACTCTGGATTTATGCCTGGTGAGGT